CAAATATGCCAAATCGTTGATAGCGTTGGTATCGCAAATTTCGACAAAGCCTTGTTTCAGTTGATTGAAGCCGTCGAAAATGAAACGTGTCGTGCTGGTGATGACCCTGCAGTTTCCAGGGTTCTGGCTACTGTACCGGTAGTGACCACGATCTTAAAACTTTTAGAAGCATCAATCTGCATTCCACGTATATCCGGGTTACGATGGCAAGCACAAGTATGGAATATTGGCTGGCTTACACAGCCAAGCAAGAAGGCCGTCCTGCAGTCTGTGGTGACCAGCTGAAACAAATAACCCATATACGGTAACGTGTTAGTAGACAAAGAAAGTGACAGAGAGTGAACTGATGGTCTTCGGGTTTGTGTGTTCCTGTATGTTGGCTCAAGTCGTCCCATAAGAACATCATCATTTTGTTCATTAAAAAAAATATGTCCCAATGTCTTCAAAATAGAATTGGCAATATTGTTCTGTGTGGCTGCCTGTGTCTTTGAAGATAAGATTGTCTTCTTCTGCCCATTGCAGAATTGAAAATTCTTGATTTTGACATGTTTGTTGGTACGTCTTTTGGGCTGGTGTGCATTGGCTAGGCAGATAGCATCTCTATTGTCCAGATGATAGATTGTGGATGGTTTCATTTGGGTAAACCCAATTTGGTCCATGATTGATCAGAAGTAGATAGCTGCCTGTTCTGATCATTTGATCTGTGCTAGCGATAATATGGTATGATGAAAGGAATTCTAGGCCATATCCCTCTCAGCAGTACCATGTACTGGAGCGGCCTGAAACGGCAGGCTTGCTGAGAATGTCCTCAGATATGTGGTACCGATTGCCTAGCAAGGATCATGGAGCTGACATGCCAGTGACAAACTCTAGAGCTTGGGCCTCGCTGAAAATGAGCCTACCTGAAGCTTCATTCCATTCATGGAAGCTTGCATGCAACGGTTTTGCCGGCCCAATATTCCAAATTTGGAATTTTACAACAAGGGACATCATGCTGGATTCTTGCAAGCTCTGAATGTTGTAAATTGGTTCTGGCGGCCAACTACCAAGCGGCCCCAAAAGCACACTTGCCTTTGTCCGATCAAGAAAGGTTGGGTAATTTGCGTTTTTGTGCGACGCTTTTGCTTTGCCCATTCCATGTAGATAACAAGTCTTTATGAATAGTTATTTCCTGTAGACATGGTTGCTGAGCTTGGACAATATGTTCACCCGATGGGGACGGATTCCAACAATTTGACGGAACCCCGCAGTATTGAGGCCCTTTACATTGAACCTACGAAGGGACTCAACCTCAACACAAAGATGATAATTTCCTGCCCCAAGGTGGTTGTACTACTAGTCACCGACCAAGGGATCCAGTGTGTTGGAGACATTTCAAGATGGTAATCAAATTGCAGGAGTGGATGACACCAAACAAGGTTACTTAGAAGAAGCTTTTGATCAAGACTATGAACCTGAAGATGATGAAGAGGATGATGTCAATCTATGTGGACAATTTGATGATATCAATCACTCCAAAAGAGACAAGCTCTTGGAGACATTTCAAGATGGCGATCAAATCGCAGGAGTGGATGAAACAGAACAAGGTTACTTAGAAGAAGCCTTTGATCAGGACTATGAACCTGAAGATGATGATGAACGTGATGTCAATCTATGTGGACAATTCAATGATATCAATCACTCCAAAAGAGACAAGCTCTTGGCAGATGCAGACAATGATGTCAATGATATGCCAGAACTCACTGTCAGATTCCGCGGAGATGATGATCATGAATCAGATGACGACAATTGAGGTGACAAAGAAGAAGAAGCTAGTGTTGCCAATTCTGTAATGTCTGGGCTGAACCTTTCTCAAGTTCCAAAGAAACCAAGAGAATGAATGGCCTTCAAGCAGGAGTGGCAGTTCTGCCAAAAAGAGCAAGAATCAAGTTGCAACAAGATGCAAGCATTGAGAGAAAGAAATGAAACTGTTGAAGAGCAAGCTGAAAACTGGTATTCGTACCAAACAAGGAAATTGAAATACTAAGAGCAGCAAGGCTGTTCTTGAAGCACAGCACAATCTATGCTTGCCAAAAAGCAATTTGAAAAGAAAGTTAAAGGTCCCCTAGTATACCAAGGCAATGGAACTCATGAATGGTTATTGCAAGAAGACACTGCAAGTCCAACTATTTTGCAAGAAGCAATCACCACTACTTGTGTTATTGATGCACACAAAGGTAGAGATATGATGTCGTTGGACAAACCTAATGCTTTCATCCAAACTTACATGCCTGAAGCAAAGGATGGAGAAGATCGTATCTACATGAAAATCACTGGAATTATGGTCCAGATATTGATTGACAAGCCACAAGAGTATTGTGAATACGTTGCATTAGAGAACAGAAAACGAGTGATCTATGTGCAGGTACTATGTGCCATATATGGGATGTTACAATCAAGCCTATTATTCTATAATCAATTTCAAAGTGATTTGGAGGAAAAGGGATTTATTTTCAATCCGTATGATCCATGTGTTGCTAACAAGGCTGTTAATGGAAAACAACAAACTCTTAGATTTCATGTTAACAATCTTATCTCAAGTCACATGGATCCAAAGGTAAATGACAAGTTTGCTGATTGGTTGAACGTGAGATATGGTTTGACCAAGGAGTGCACAATTGTCAGAGGAAAGATACACAGGTATCTTGGAATGACTTTGGATTTCTCGGTGAAAGGAAAACTCAAGATCTGCATGGATGACTATGTCAAGAACATGTTGGAAGATTTTCCAGTAAAGTTCAACAAAGAGTCAAAGCAAGATACACCAGCTGGTAATGATTTACTGAAAGCTGGTAAAGGAAAGCTATTCAATACTGAGTATTGTCAAATCTTTCATACTACTGTTGCAAGAGGACTTTATGTCTCAAAGAGAGCAAATTTGGATATTCGTCCAACTATTACGATTTCTGCCTCGAGGGTTTGAGAACCCACAAAGTCTGATTGGAAGAAGTGTGTTTGCATGATGTCAAATTTGTATTGTACGTTGTTGTTACACCTGACACTTTCCGTTCATTCACCTTCAAGTCATGAAATGGATGATTGATGCATCGTTTGCAGAACATCCAGGTTTCAAGAGCCATACTGGCGGCACTCTATCCTTCGGAGGAGGTGGTGCAGCTCAAGTGATGTCAAAGAAACAGAAACTAAACAGCAGAAGCAGTACAGAAGCAGAACTGATTGCTGTTGATGATTTTGTCACTATGGTTCTGTGGACCAAGTTGTTCATGGAGTGGCAAGGGTATCCAATTGAGAAAACAGCTTGTATCAGGATAACAAACGCACAATTTTGTTGGAGGAGAACGGTCCCACCAAATAAGACATACGGGGCTGATTTTGGGGCATGGTCCCTTTTAAATATTACCTGATTTTCTTTTCTGATCAAATCTTCCAATTTTTGGTGGCCCCAGATAGTGAGCAAATAAAACTGAATCGTATGTGGTCCGTCCGTCGCCATTTTCACCACGTTTCGTTCTTTGGCATCAAGTTTTACAACATTAGAAACAATACACAACCAACCCCTCATAATTTTCAGATTCATGCACTTGAATAAAAAGCAAGCAAGCAATAACGGAAACGATCATAATGACAATGGATGAGCTGCCAATCGGTGATGTTGAGAAGGGATATGACAACAAGGGAGAGATAACCAATAAGACCTTGGTTTCGTCATTTGGTTACGACAGTAACAAGGAGCCCATTGGGTCCAACAAAGATTTAACCAAAAACAATCTGGTTTGGAGTGGGATTAATCTAAAACTAATGGACAGAAAGAAGGGCAAGAAGGACGGTGTCAAACTCAACATTCTCAAAGATGTTTGGGGCACAGCAGAAGCTGGAAAGACAACTGCCATCATGGGGGCCTCGGGAGCTGGAAGTAAGTTTTCATTTTCCCAGCACTCAACGGCATTTGATATTGATGTGCTTGCTTATAAATGTTTTCTTCCAATTATTGATTCTATCTTCGCCTTTTAACAGAGACAAGCCTCTTTCAAGTTCTCACTGGGCGTATTCCCAGTCAAGGAAACCTAGTCCAAGAAGGATCGATCTATCTTGGTGGTGTCAGGGTCGATCCTCGCAATCGAGAACACCGCAAGCTGTTTGGATACGTCGCCCAAGAAGATACTCTTCATGAGACATCTACTCCTCGGGAAGCTCTCCGCTTTAGTGCCAAGCTCCGTCTGGCTCACGCCACCACTGATGAAGAAATTGAACAACTGGTCGAGAAGAAGCTCAAGGCATTGGGTCTAGAATCTGCCGCCGACACCATCATTGGGGGAGGCTTCAAGAAAGGTATCTCGGGAGGTCAAAAGAAGCGAGTATCTATTGGTGTGGAACTAATTGCATCTCCCTCCATCATCTTTTTGGACGAACCAACTTCTGGTTTGGATAGTTATGCTGCGGCGCAAGTGATGCAACTACTGGATGATGTTGCCAAAGAAGGAAACATTGTCTTGTTCACTATTCATCAGCCATCCTCCAAGGTCTTTTCCTCCTTTGACAACTTGATCCTCCTGAACAAGGGTCAAATTATGCACCAAGGGTCAGTCTCCAATACTGCTAATGACTTTAGTGCAGCTGGATTCCCCATGCCAGACAATTACAACCCTGCTGATTGGGTCATTGATGTGTCGGAGACGAATCAACTTGACGATTTGAAGAAGACCACCTTCTTCTCGAGCGAGCCCAAGGACAACACGATTGTCACAGACTCACAAAAGACCCTGGCGATTCCATATTCAAAACCCGTCTCGATCTTTGTGGAGCTTCAGTATCTCCTCCGCCGCGAGTTTCGCGACATTAAGCGCAATCCGCTAATGACGGTCATCAATGTCACCATCACTTCCATCTTGGCAGCCATCTTTGGTTTGATGTTTTGGGACGTCGGTCGCAAAGACCGATCCGAAATAATTGTAAGTGATTGTGGATGATCATTTATCTAGAATTTGAAGCAAGGCCTTTCACAATCGTTCAAACTCATAACTTTTTTTTTGTTGGCAATGTTACTTTCAGGTGGTACAAGCGGTACTTGGCTCATTGGTCAACTTGATGATTTCGACCTTGTTTGGGCAAAGCAACACTGCCATTGCCGTGTTCGCGCGTGATCGCCCTCTGTTCTTGCGGGAATACTCCACGGATCACTACAGCATTGTCCCGTACTTTTTGTCCAAGCTTGGCAGTGAAATGTTCAATGCCTTTGCGGCTGTCTTGGCACAAACTTTGGTCGTCTTCTGGATGATGGGCTTCACCATGGGCTTTGGACACTTGTTGGCCATTACCTATTCCATGTCCTTGGTTTCGACTGCCGTTTGCGTCATGTTGGGTGCCTTCTTTGCAAATCCCGAGAACGCCACGGCGCTGTTCACCGTGGTCGTCGTTCCACAACTCTACTTTAGCGGTGTTTTCATTTCCATCGAGTTGTTGCCCGATGTTGTCCAATGGGCCCAGTATGTGTGCTCCTTGACCTATGCGTCTCGCTTGGCGTTGGCTTATGAGTTCCAGAACTGCGAGCCAGGACTTGCCGAAGAGAATTGTCTCGCCACTCTGGACCGGAACAATGTGGAGATCGATAATATCTGGTGGTATTGGCTTGCCCTCCTGGGATTGTTCCTTGGATTCCGCTTGATTGCCATGATTGTCTTGCGTTCCAAGGCAAACTACTAGAACCAGAATGGCAAGGTCTTTTCCAAACTGATCTCGAATGAATGAATCACACCCAATACACTTTATACGTAACATACCCCTAGCTAGTTTTCATATTAAGCTGTCCCCCGTTTTGACTGTTGCCTGCTGTATTGTGAATAGTATCGTTGAAGTGTCACCATCGCACCTCAACAAGCGGAATTGGCTATTGTTCTTGATCGTCCATCACAATCTCCGCTTCCACATCAATCGAATTATTTTCTTCCTCATCTTGTGTTTCTGCAGAATTCAACACCGCGGCAACCAGTTCGGACACGGATGCTGCTTCTGTGGAATTCGCAGTGGCGGTAGAGCCAATGGAGGACCGTTTCTCCGCCTTGTCTTGCTTGCCTACTGTTTGCGGCTGTCTTTTCTTGCCCGTCATGCGGCGTCGCTTGGGTTGCGGTGGTTCCACCATGTCGATGTCAAATCCACATATCAAGGCTTCCCGGGCCAATATCTGAAGCTGACAATCCAAGTTTTGTTCCTCGTCTTGCAAGTTTTTCAACAGTTTGACCATGGCCGAACACTCTGTCTTGATGCGATCCAGTGATATCTCTTGATTGTCACCATCACCATCCCCATCACCATCACCATCACCATTACCATTACCATCATCGTCATCGTCATCCTCCTCGTTATAATCTTCAGCGTCGCCTTCGCCGATTGTCTCATCCACAATCATTTCGTTGTCAGCCTCCTCCGTCATCGTGTGTGTCGCTACTATACAATATGTTGCAAAATGATCTTATACTCTTCATGCGCATGCTGCGGTGTTTGTAGATAAAAGCGACTTTGTTAGCTCCTCATTTTCGGTCATTCACATCAAAAGCAAAATATAACACGGGTAATACATATTATATTTGTCAGTGGCCCCCACTTTCAACATTATAACCACGTTCACTATCATGTCGCTGCAGCGACAACAGCAGTAAAGGGGTCATCGTTTCTGTTCATCGTACTGGTACCGTACTCATAAAAACATCCAGCAAAACATACTTCCATTATCAGACAGCAGAGGAAAAAACTGCTTCATTGCGTCGACACAACAAAATTATTGAAACGTCATCATGATGCTCAAAACGATTCCTTTGATCCTCATTATTTGCTTTACGCTAGTTCTGAGGCTGATATTCTCCCGTCTCCCGAACACGGCCCTGGATACAGAAGAAGAATATGTCGACGAGGTTCCAATCGCAATTGTCGTTCCAACTACAATGGACAATAATTCCCATGGCGATTCTTCTTCTGACCACACCACCGGAAGAAATATGCCAGTTCGTCCAAAAAGTAACAGCAACCTCTCTCCCGAAGACTCCTTTGCTGCATGTCTCATGTGGTTGGATGACTACAGCTCGCTCAATGAATGGATCGCTTACCATTATCAGGTTTTGCCGCTGCGATACCTCGTCTTCTTGAGAGATGTACCAAGCCAACTCGATCCCACTCCCATCTTGGACAAATGGAAGGAACTTATCCAAATCGAATACTGGACAAGCTATCGTGATTTCATGACAAATAAAACGTACAAGTATATTAGAAGGCGGAAACGAGCAAGTCGGTACGTTGCGATACAAAAGGAATTCTACAGAGGCTGCCTTGTCCATGCCCAAGCGAACAATCGGACGTGGACGATGGTTCATGATACAGATGAATTCGTCGTTCTCAATAACAAAATTGTGCCAAATGCCACGAGCCGAATGGAAGAGCACGGGATCGTATTGGAGGTAGTGAAAAAGGCCCATGCGAAGGATCCCTCTGTGGGTGTCACGGGTCAAACAAATGTGAAATGGTTCGCGAATTGCACAGGGATGGCCAAGGTCCAATATACGTCATTTGAAAGTACGCCGGAGGAAGTAACGAAGGGTGTTCCTTATTCGTTCGTAGATCCCTATCGGTTCTTGACCCACCGTTTCCGCCACAAAGACGCCAAGGGCCTCATCGGGAAGACGATGGTGGATGTATCCAAATTTGATTTGAGCGAGAAGACCTGGCATGACTTCCATTCACATTCTCTGATCCGAGGAGAATGTTTTGGGGAATGGGGTGAAAGGCACGACTTGCTGGAAGTGAATCATTACCTTGGGTCGTATGAACGGTTTCAACGGCCATCCGACTTTCGCATTGGTACGAATCGTACCAACAGATTTTACCACCTCAACAAGCAAGCCATAGACAGGATGTCCATGCAGCACCTCGACCAAGGCGATGTCATCCGGCCTTGGTTGCAAGGATTTGTGAAACATTTCGGCGAAGAGAACAGCAACTATTTGTTGTCGGATGTTGGATCGCCGTACAACAGGGACACGGCCCTTCCGGTTTTGGATTCGTCTCCGGAATCGATACAAAACGCCAGGTCCGTACTAACGTCAATACTGTAATATATATAATAGTATATGATATAATAATATCAATCGAAACATCATGAAAAAGGCTCAATCAATCAATTCATTCAAATGAAAATTGCTACATTGTTACTACCCAACTTCATAATATATACATACTGTATGTATATATTCCTTGGCTTGGAAAAAAAAAAGTAAGTTTGGCTCTATATCCTTGATGATAATTCTCTATGTATACATTGCACACCCACCCAAATCGTTTTTTTTCTCTTCCATTTTATAAAAAGTAATCGGGCATTTTCTTTCCAGAATGTGCTTCACCTCGTCTCGGTGCAGGATCAAATTGCAAAAAGGTTCTCTGCAGTGATTCGTCCACTTCCATAATAGCTGCTTGGTTACCACATCGATAACAATAATTGGGAGCCGAAAAGATGGTGACCACTTGTTGATCATGCGACCAGTTGTACCCGTCCATCACCAATTGATGCGCCCGTGATACGAGGGAGAGTCCATTCCGTTCGTTGAATTTTTCGGAAATGTCCTTGCCAAAGGTAAATCCAGCGCCTCGCGGGTTGATCCCCCAGCCACTGCGGTCGTCGGGATCGCTCCAGACCAGATCGCACATGGGACCCTCGTGGGGAACTTCTTGGACGCGGTCCAATTGGCGGACGTGATCCAAGGTATCAATGGAGGGTGACAAACCACCATGGGGACAAAAGATGGAATTTTCAACCAGTGCCGTCAAGGGTAGGTAATCAAAGAGATCGGTAAACATCTTCCAGACATTGGCCGAACCGTACTTTCGGACGCATTCGTCATAGAAGCCATAGACTTGGGTAATTTGACGGGATTCGTGGTTGCCTCGCAGCAAAAAGACCCGATCGGGATATCGGACCTTGAGCGTGACCACCATGGAGACAGTCTCGACGGAGTAATAACCTCGATCGACATAATCTCCCATGAATAGGTAATTAGTGTCTGGCGCACTTCCTCCAATGCGAAAGATTTCCATCAAATCATGCCATTGGCCGTGAATGTCACCACAGACGGTCACAGGCGCTGGCACAGGTTGGACATTGGATTCGTTCAGCAAGACTTCCCTCGCCATTTCGCAAAGAGCCTTGACTTCACTTTCCGCCAGTGGGGTTCCCATGCTCAATTTGGACAACCAAGCCTCCAAATCGTAATATCTCTTTTCGGTTGCGGCTGGATTCAAGGCGTCATATCGCACCGTGTCGGGAATCTTGGTTTGGGCGGCCTTGGACATTGCCATGGGAGACTCGTCCGATCCAGCACTGGAAACGGACGTCGAAGCGCCATCTGGTTCAATGTCCATCATATTGTTGTTGTTGTTGTTGTTATTGTTCATGATGAGTGTTGTGGATCAAATATGGCAATCGGGCAATAGAATGAATATTTTAATACAATTCCAATGATGCAACAAGTTTACGATTGATTTCAATGCAGAGTGCTGCTGTCTGTCATCTTCCTCCAGAAGTTACAGTACCATACTGTAGCATTTTTTTAACATCTTTTGTGCTCGCTTGCTCGTTTTGGAGTCAGTCGGATCAATCCAAAAATGATGTTTGAAATTTAAAATTGCCATATAAGTAAATTTTTGAGGCTCGTTTCTCTCGTCATTCATTCTCGCATTGACGTCATTTACTCGTTTCGGCCCTGTTTCAGCAACTGACTCATCCTACCATGGGTTACCGCCGGTACACGTGCAGAAAATTCGACGGTTCTAGGAAGCTCCAACTACACCACGTATTCATCCTTTTTCGATTTGTCAGAACAATCACATTCTTTCTTTCTTTCTTTCATTCATTCTTTCTTTCTTTCTTTCAAACCCAAATGAACCAAGACGACATGCCGATTGGAGATATTGAAGACCCCAAATCCGCCGTCGAATCGACGGAAAAGACCATGGATTCCAGAACTTCCTCAACCAAGTTTGGATCCGGTGGCGGAGCCAAGGGAGATTTGGTATGGAGTGGAATGAATCTCAAACTCATGGACAAGAAAAATAAGGGCAATGTCAAGCTTGACATTCTCAAGGATGTTTGGGGGAAGGCAGAAGTTGGAAAGACTACGGCCATCATGGGAGCCTCTGGAGCTGGAAGTAAGTCGATCGAGCGATGCACGAATGAATGATTGTATTTTTCTTCTTCTCCAATTTTGACCAGCATTCTGACGCATCATCACTCAAAATCGCCTCACTCACCTCATTCACACTACAGAGACAAGTCTCTTTCAAGTGCTGACGGGACGTCTTCCTACTCAAGGAGATCTAGTCCAAGAGGGAGAAATATTTTTGGGTGGAGTCCGAGTGGACCCTCGCGACCGAGAACATCGCAAGTTGTTTGGGTACGTGGCCCAAGAAGATGCCCTTCACGAAACCTCCACACCACGGGAAGCACTCCGATTCAGTGCCAAACTGAGGTTGCCCCGTACCACATCCGATGAGGAAATTGAAGCCTTGGTCACCAAGAAATTGAGAGCCTTGGGACTGGAAGATGCGGCCGATACTATTATTGGAGGTGGATTCAAAAAGGGTATTTCGGGTGGTCAAAAGAAGCGTGTCTGCATCGGTGTCGAATTGATTGCTTCTCCTACCATCATCTTCTTGGATGAACCAACGTCTGGTCTGGATAGTTATGCCGCAGCTCAAGTGATGCAATTATTGGATGATGTCGCCAAAGAAGGAAACATTGTCTTGTTTACTATCCATCAGCCATCCTCCAAGGTATTTAACTCCTTTGACAACTTAATCCTCCTAAACAAGGGTCAGGTCATGCACCAAGGAGCAGTCGATAATATCGGGGCCGACTATAAGGCAGCTGGATTTCCCATGCCAGAGAACTACAACCCTGCCGATTGGGTCATTGATGTGTCGGAAATGAATGACATTGACGACTTGAAAAAGACCACCTTTTTCGCCAGTGAACCAAAGGACCACAAGATTATTCCTGTCAAGGGAGAGAAACTGGAAGTTCCAGATTCAAAACATGTTTCCGCTTTTACCGAACTCAAATACTTGCTGTCACGTGAATTCCGGGACATTAAGCGCAATCCACTTATGACGGTCATCAATGTGACCATTACTTCCATTTTGGCGGCCATTTTTGGTATCATGTTTTGGGATGTTGGTCGAAAGGACCGAGCTGAATTTGTGGTACGTCTATGCTGTGCAGTACTTTTGTCTTGAAATGAAGGAGGATCAATCAATCTATCTATCTATCTATCTTCAAGTCAAAAAAGTTGTTTATTTTGCATATTGGTGGACTCTCACTCACTCATCTATTTGGAATCTATGTTATAGGTTGTACAAGCCATCCTTGGCTCCTTGGTCAACATTATGATCTCGACCTTGTTTGGTCAGAGTAATTCTGCCATTACCATTTTTGCACGTGATCGCCCCCTCTTCTTGCGCGAGTACTCCACAGACCACTACACCATTGTTCCATACTTCTTGTCCAAACTTGGCAGTGAAATGTTCAATGCTTTTGCAGCTGTCTTTGCCCAGGCATTGGTTGTGTACTGGATGATGGGCTTTACTATGGGCTTTGGTAATTTCTTGGCAATTACCTATGCCATGTCCTTGGTTTCGACTGCCGTTTGCGTCATGTTGGGTGCCTTCTTTGCAAATCCTGAGAATGCTACGGCGCTGTTCACCCTTGTGGTCGTTCCACAACTCTATTTCAGTGGGGTCTTTATTTCCATCGATTTGTTGCCCGACCTTGTGCAATGGGCCCAATATGTGTGCTCCCTGACCTACACCTCTCGATTGGCATTGGCCTATGAGCTTCAAAATTGCGAGCCAGGACTTGCCGCACAGAACTGTGAAGATACTTTGGCCAGGAACAATGTGAATATCGATGACATCTGGTGGTACTGGCTTGCCCTCTTGGGTTTGTTCACTGCTTTCCGTTTGGTTGCCATGATTGTGCTCCGATCCAAAGCCAATTATTAAGTTTTGTTCCCTTTTCCAGCCTTTGTAGTGCTCTATGTGAGGAGTAATAGAGGAAATACTATTGAGATAATATTAGAAAAGCTATCGTGTATTTTAAAATCCAACTAGTAGAGAAATATGATGGTGTTCTGCCTGTCGTCCGTATGTCGAGTCATTGTGGTCACATATCGATAGAAACAACACTGCGGAATGTTCTACTTACTTTCCTTCCACTTGCACAATCATCATCCACCATGAAGTTTCTGCTGATTTTCTCCATCTTACTTTTTTATTCGGTCCAGCTTTGCCATGGGGTGAATGAACCTAGTGAACCAAATACTGATCAACAGCGTCTGCAAGAGGAAATCACGAATCTTCACAATGCAGCGAACGAGTTTCTAGCAGCAGGGGAGTTGGACGAAGCACTCGAGAAGTACGAAGAGTCTCTAATTGTTATCAAGGCGTACTTTGGTGATGAACATCCCAACGTGGCTGCGATCCGATATAACATCGCTAGAGTTTTATACAGCCAAAACAAGGTAGATGAGGCGATTTCACAAGCGGAAGGAGCTCTGGATATGTATGCAAAGGTACTAGGGGAAGACCACGCAATAGTTTCGTCAACCTTAACGGGGTTGACAAATATTCTAGTGGAACAAAATAGATTAGATGAAGCGTTGATCAAGCTTCAACGAGACCTGGCAATCCAGAGAAAGATTCATGGCGAAAAACACTCGGCGGTTGCTGAGAAATTGCGTGGAGTTGGAATGATTTACTTCAAGCAACAAAATTATGACGAGGCCATGGAGACCTATGCGCAAGCCCTTGAAATCTATCACAGTACTGTTGGCGAAGGTCACATCTCGACAGCTGATACGCTTGATCAAATGGCTAGCGCATCGTTTCATCTAGGGAAATTGGACGAAGCTATTGAGTTTGCAGAGAAAGCACATGATATTACATCGAAAGAACTTGGAGAGAGTGCAAATGCAACACTTACTGCATCCGACAACCTGGCATTTTACAAAGAACAGGCCGAAGCGGCAAACACAGAGGCAGAACTCTGAGTAGTGCAGAGAATTGGAAAGACTTGACTGGTCAAATTAAGCAATCGCAGAAAGAAATAGAAACGCATTTTTAGGGCCGCCCCGAAGTACAATGGATGCAATAAAGCCTGCGGCATTGTATCCTAACAGCCGTACCAGGTACCGGTACTGTACCAGGGTACCAGGTACCGGCACATCTCAGGTTGCACAACCGTCATCGGTACGTCCATTTTTTAAATATAAAACGCTAAACAATACCCGCCTATTCAAAACACTAAAAAAGCGCCTACGGCTTGTACGTCCTCTTCATGTCTATACGACGTCCGACTTATCAGAAGGCGAATTTGAAGCTTCAACTGCGTGATGTCAAACGTCAAACGTCAACATCAACTTGACAAACCATGATATCCTTGAGATGAACATGGCTTATCATTCTGATCAATACGCTCTCGATGCGACCCCATTATTAAATGAATGCATAGAAACATTGCAAGTTGCGATAAACCAAGATTTACTCGGAAATGGGAAGCCGTTGCATAAATTGAAAGATGTTCTGGTATCTGCCGAAGACATCCTTCATCGCCACCTTAGATTCTTGCTTGAGAGAGAACCGAAACAGCTTGTAAATGGCGATTCCAAGTTTTTAAGTGGTTCGGAGAACATAATGGATACCCTCTCTGCACTTGAGCACCTTCTCGAGGAAAAAAGGCGGCAAGCAAAACTGTCAACACCGTTGTTGAGTGGGTCTCATCCTCAAGATCCATTAGCTCATGGCCACTACTCGTCACGAAGCGCAACAGGCACAATGATGTTTCAACTGATTGTGGCCTTGCAACTATGCTTGCTGAGGCTATCAGACTACGTCATGACGGGTGACCACTTACCCTCAGGCAGGAATTCAGGTGGCCAATTTGTTTTTCGTGGAGCATGGATACTCTGCTCTGGGATTGCAGCTTCGATAGCCGTTAGCAGGCCTGAAAGACGAGGTCCTATCGTCGCAAAGTTGAAGACAAAAGAAACCGTGTTGGCCCTCGGGGGGTTAGTTTTCTGCAAGCTGATACATTCCAAAGTTAAGGCACTATATATTCGGGACAAGATTTGGAAATCGACTGTCGAAATCGAGGAATGGATTCGTCAGTGGGAAGCTGTAAGACCACGAGATGAGGAAGAGCACGAAGAAAATTTTCAACAAGAGTCAATGTACATTGACCACCAATCCAGACGTCTGATCGAGTATGCGGCACAACGCGCTCCAAGTGTACGACCACTCAGTTTTCGTCGAGTGCAGATCCAATTGACCTCACCATCATCCTTTCTCTTATCACATAGTCGTCGACTTGGCAATATTCGGAGGGAGAAATACGGTTTCTGATGCTGAAGCGTTTCATGGACGTTTATTATGCGTCGGTTTCAACGGCAATCGATACAAAAAGTACTTCTTATTGGCAACTACCGTTGGTAACCGGAGCTGCTGCATCGTTCTACTCTCTAACTGGAGCGAGTCGTAAGGCGACTGAGGCTGTCACCTCCAGCTCTCATGATCTCATCCAACATGCTTGGTAAGTATCGGGTATTCAGAACGCTTTCTTCATTCAATGTGTCTAACGAATTATTCACCTCATGTCCAGGGGTATGGTTTCGATACCTGCGGTCAAGGGCTTGATGTCACAGGCCTCGAAATTCATCAAGGGTGCTTCCGTCGTAGATCGTATCACAATATGCGGCGTATCCTGTTTCGTACTTTCCCGTGAACCAGCACCAGAACTTGGCGCCGCAATAAGAAAACAAAGAGGAGGACACCAGTCTGCTCTTGCATCCAAGCTTTCGACAATCGAGGAGGCAGAGGAATCGGTCCATGAGGAAGCGAAGTCTGCCTCGCCAACTAATAAGAAGTTTGCGGGCTCTTGTGGTTCTTTCCGTCAACGGGACATTATCTTTCATTTGACAGGGGGTGGATTCTTCTCGCACATTATTGGATCTGATCTTCCATACTTGCTGGACTGGAGTGCGTCCACAGGGGCTGTCGTGATCTGCCCCGAGTATGCGCTACTCCCAAAACATGCATTTCCGGTGGCATTGAATCAAATTGCTGCCGTTTATTCTACTCTAGTGAACGGAAACGCCGCAGCTGAGTTGGGATTTGAAGTTAATCGCATTGTTGTGACTGGAGAGTCAACCGGTGGCAACCTAGCAGCGGCATTATGTGTCAAGATAATCGAAGCCGGTCTACGGAGTGAAGAGAAATCCTTCAGTGAATCAACGGGCGTTGAATTGCCCCGCCTTCCCGATTCAATGATGCTAAGCTGCGCTGCCTTAAACTTGTCTTTGGAGATTAGCTATTCTCGTGTAATTGGAAAAGAGGATCCTGTACTTCCCAGTGGTCTTATTGCAGCAATATCGGATGCCTACCTGCCTAAAGGAGCAGATAAGACTCAACCCTTGGCATCTCCTATTTTCGCGAGTGATACAGTACTGCGATTATTCCCCCCAGTTATGCTGTTTGCTGGTTCAACCGATCCTTTACTCGACGACTCAGTTGTTTTCAATGGTCGCCTTCGTTCTCTTGGTGTCCAGTCCGAGTTGCGGGCTGTCCGAAATGTGCCACATGCCTATTGGGTAAGTTCAAGACGTGTGAGTCTTCCATCTATTTCTTATACTACTGTTGCTCACATGTACATCTGCAGGGTCTTGGTACCGCTGGATTCCCTGAAGCCCTTCAGGTACAACAGGAGTGCCAAGCGTGGCTTTCCCGAGCATTCCGTGATTCATCGAATGCTTATAATAATATGTCTCCCTCTCTGTAAGAAAACATAGAATAGATAGACTTTATAAAAATGTTTTCAGTAGCGATTAGACATACTTTCCACTATGTCATTCTGTCATTGACAAGGAATGGGCCCCGTTGGTGTCTAGCTGCTACTTTACATCGGACTTGCGAAGGCTTGTGCGAAGAAGGCTTCGCAAGTAGACAGCCCCCCTTGGGATGCGATGGAATGCCACGACTCACAAATGCTCAAAGGCTTCTACCGGTATTCCCCAAGACTGTCTTGTGTGCCAGTTCAATTGAAACTACAAAGAGCGATTCATTCATCTTTCCATATTTCTTCGACGAACCTTGTGCCTCGGAACCATCTCCAATTTAGGCTGTAGTTTTCGATAGACAGGGTCCCAAGGAGCAGGTTGTTCCCATTGCTTCGTTTTCGGGTTCAACCAGGCTTCAATAACTGGAGAACCATGCAGGTGTACTTCCGGTCGTTTCGATGTCATTGTACCCATGAGTGCAGCCAATGATCCAAAAATTACAATCCCAGCCGCCCAATATCGAGGATTGGAAAGTGTCTGCATTGCCATATTCATTCCTCCCGCATGCGTCCGAGCACCTGGACGTCGAATATTATCCCCACCATACATGCCGCCTCCAGGTTTTCTCCACATTGACCTTTCCAGAAGTTGTCTATCATACTTCATTCGTTCATTAGGGCTTGACAGCACCGAATTGGCCTCTGCGATAGCTTTGAATTTTTCTGCATCTGTATCTGGATTCAAATCAGGATGCGTCTCGAGACTCAGTTTTCGGAATGCAGCTTTAATCTCGTCTTGCGATGCCTTCTTGGCTACACCAAGCACATCATAATGGTTCTTTGTTGACATGGCTTCGTTTCACTGACTATAGCTTCGAAGACGACGCGATAGAATAGATTAGTGAACAGTGGGGGGGGGGGTATTGTGTGTTTGCCCTGTTGGTTGCTTGTCAATGCAATGAAGTGACTTTATTGCTTATGTTGAGTCAGAATTTAATGTTTTCGGTTTCCTGAAAGGTACTACATTAGCTTTGGTTTGAAGCAAGCCCATCATGGCCAGATTATAACGCAACTCATACAATCCCAACTGAGTACGAGAAAGATCAATAATGAACTACATGTTATCAATTCGTATGATTGGCCTTAGTCCCATGTATGGAAGCAGCATGCTTTTGAAGCACAACAGCCATACAAAAATCCTCCACATCGAAAATAGCTGGATATTGCGAATCACGGTTATACGCAACATTCGCAGCACTGCCTTTCATTGGGATATGATATTGGGGACATCAATCCACTCGAAAGTTCTCGGTAGAATACAATGTGCGGGTACAGGAACAAACCCGCCATTACAACCCCGAAAGGGTCCAAGTACACTCCTGCACGAATCATTTCAACGACATACCAAATGGATGCGATGACGATCGAGAGCTGGTGGAATTTGTAGGCACCAAAGATGCCACAGGCATTGCATATTATCCCGAGTACCGCAATTCCAATGCTTAGCCCTATTGATGCTCCATCCATTTCATCAAGGAAGGCTTGGACTTCATCATCGTCCAGCTGACTTTGCAAATCAGCATTGGTTGTCAAAAGTGTTAAAGATAGGAGCGCAAGGGTTGCAAAGGAGATGCTGACGATGTTGACCACAATCACAGCCCGTCGTGTATCGCAGCAACATCCACAGCATGAATGCCCAGTTGGAGTTTGTCGATCGTGTTGAATGTAATCCCCACTCCTGTACGCTTCTCCTCGACCGTACTCCTTGTCGGTTTCTCCGTCGGTCTCGATATCTGTATCCATTGGCTTCATTGTTGATGTTGCCTTTTGTTGATGTGTCAGTCTTCCTACAGTGTTACGGGTGCAAATTTGATTGAAATATGTCAAATTCCTGAAATTCGCCATGATTTAGCGAGGTGGATGATAAAATTCTACATAGAGTGAAATAACGTGTGGACAAGCGTTGATTTCAGTTCAACCGACATATACCGTACTTTTACATGGTACTTAGGGTGTAAGATTTTTAACCACCATATTAATATTTTAACTTAATCTGTGAAGGACGACAGCAAGACGATGAGAAGACCTGCCGCTATAAAAAATAAAACAGAAAACAAAAACCAAACCAAAACTTCTGGATTACACAGTCTTCAGCAAAGGCACTATGTGCCTTGCATTTAACGGACTATGCCTGTTGGCAAGACCTTCCGGATGGAGTTCCCAGAGTGTGTATGGATCTCTACTTGGACTACCATAAGCGGGATCAGTTGCTATAGTTGAGTCCATTGAGGCAAAACAGGAAAAGAAGAAGGCACCATGCCGAATACATGAAGCCAGAAACCACCAAAGATGAAGGTCGAGCTGTCTATCGTAAGTCTCTGACAGAATACCGTACAGAGCTTCAAACAAAAAGTCCATTGGTGAATACTACGGGCCTAAGTAGCTAAAATTTTGTAGATGGCTTCATTGCCATCGGCCGGCTGTACAAGATCTCTCATCAGATCACGCCTGATAACATAAGTTCTTCTTTTCTTTTTCTTATCGTTATCATTGTTCACTTGTGTCAATGAGGATTCCCGTGAAGCTGGCTGGGTTTTGCTGATGGCTCATGTTGGCTGTGGGTTGCACAACCTAGCTATTATTGACAGTGCGATGTGGTTAATCTGCATAATATACAAAGAATACATTATCCCACTCCGTCACTGTTTTATGTTTATGTTTGCAACATGCGGCACACGCACCAAGAGGGCGGTTGAAACTTGCAGGGATCTCTTCCGAGGCTACTCCGGGTGACTTGAAAAGCTCATAAAAAATGAAGACAAGTAGTAATCCATCCCTTTTATTTACTAGCTAGTCAATGCAAATTATGTCGTGTGAAGGGTTCGTCCACTCCACTACGTTCACAATCTCAGTGTCTGGCTCTGCTTCGTCTTCACTTGTGTCGCAACTACTACTATCACAGAGCCCAAGTTCCATTGCTCGATTCATTTCTTCCATGTGTTTATTTTCCTCTTCCTCGTCATATTCTTCTTCTTCTTCTTCTTCTAGATAGTCTGCTTGGCTAGCGCCGTCAACACCTGGGTTGTGACACTTTCTCGTTTCAAGATTGTTGTTGGCGGGTGCATCCATGTCTTCTTCGTGTAGCACCGCATGCTGTTCGCCTTCGCCATTTCCGTCTGCAATTTCAATAGTTGCTGGCGTAGTTCTTGAGACTGGTAATTTGACTTGTGGTTGGTCCAGAGCTATTGGTAAACTGGGGGAAGAAATTGTATTGTTGGATGTATCATCTTCTTGGGGAGTAGTGGCGACTGGTCTTGGTTTACTTTGACCCTCCATTTCCAGCAGAATCATCTCAATTGCTTCCCTGTGGTTCCATTCATGGAACTTTCCAACGGCCTCATTGTACTTGAGGAATCGGATGTCTGGATTCAGCTGCCGAAGCCCATATAAGACTGATAGATGGAATCGCCGTTTGGCCGATGGATCCCCTTGGCAGGAGTCTTGGTACTTTCGAAAGGTCTCTTGCAAACATATTCGGAATGCATCGCTTGGCAAGTCAATATCCGCCTTCTTTCCTCGGCGACGTCCACGATAAAGAATATCAGATTCCGTGAAATCATGTTCGTCGACGTAGACTTTCACGACGGCTTGGTCATCTTGTTCTTCGGGCCAATCCAACTCCATTTCACTGCTGGCATGGTTTCCAACAGTCGCAGTAATTGGAATCTTTTGCACATTGGTCTCATCCCGGTTCTGGGGTAATGGTGGTATGATGGCTTCATTTTCTGGCAAATGCCAAGTGGTTTCCTCTTCGTCTTGGAGTTGGTTCGGTGAAACGATTGCTGGAGGTAAATTGTCCGTACTTTCTTTTGTTGGCTGTGGAGTAGCTGATTTTTGTTTTGGATTCGAATCTTGATCATCTTCATATTGTCTGGAAACTTTGGCACCCGTAATGATCCTCTTTGTCATTGCTTTTGCTGCTCGCTTTTTGGTCTTGTCGGGTGCGGTTGACGACTCCAAGCTGTTGAATGCCTGTTGAATTCTTTGCCAAGCATTCGAGGTGCTGCATTTGTAATACTTTCCAACGTCCTTATCGAATTGCAAGAGTCGCATAGGTGGATCAAATTCCTCCAGCTTGTCGACAATGTGAAATGCCATCATCAAATTGCTGGAATTACGGCGATGGTCGTTGAAGGCTCCTTCCACAATCTTCCAAAATAGTTTGTTGCCAGCGTGGGCCTTCTTTTCTCTTCCATTTTTCGTCCAAAGGATATCATTACTTGTGACTTTATCAATGTATTCTTTCCCCATCCCTGCAATTGTGTTGCGTGATTTGCTGGTTGCTGTTTTGCTTGAAAGGAGGGTTCGGTTGTTGTTGTTGTCAAAAATAAAGTTGTTGCCAAATTTTTGGCTCGGAGTTCAAAATACCGCCATAAGGGGACCAGCGCGCGGCGTGACGGAAATTCGGACACTAAGGTAGTCCACAAAAAATGCAACAAAATTGACGTTGAGGTACCGTAGAGTTGTCATGCATGGAGTATATACGATATGGCTCAAGTAGGCAACAACGGATGCATGCTATGGAGGTGCCTGAATTAGATCCCATCCACTTTCGCATGGCCACCGCCTCCACTTTGATTAATATAATTTGAGGTCCAAGTATCGGTCCTCGTCGTGGTCAAACTCGTTAGCCTTATTGGTCTTCCGTCGTGTGGATTCCAGATGTTCAGAGAGGAATCTTGGTCTATCAGTTGGATTCAAAAGCATTCTGTTATTTGCCTTGGGCATATCTTGGAATCTTCAGCGCAATCATGGCGATTATGTTTTGCCCTCCTTTCCAGCAGAGATTGAACAGAAAACAAAATCTTTGCAACCACGATGCATCGCATTCCAAATAAATTCAAATTGGCAAAAACTCGGTTCTGTTCCCTGACGAAGGGTGATCCAACTGATACAAATACTCTCGACAAGTGATATCTTCCCCTTCCCGGTTCCAATAAACTACCTTGGACCAATGATAGGTGCCAGCAAGTTGATGATCTCTATCTTTCTTGGTCATCCTCTTTCCGTCGTACTCGACATTTTCAAGGCCTGTCGGGTTCCTCCATTCCCACTGTCCTTCCTTGTGAATCTGTTTGCCAAGCTTTCCTTTCTTCACTCCATTTTCTAATTTGTCATCAATCTTATTGGATGTAAAAGAGAGCTCGAGATAGGAGATGTATCCATCTCGGAATGCTACAGGCCCAGTAACGAATACCACTTTTGGTTTTCGGACGCTTTCTAAATCGTACAGGTTCTGTAGAATTGTCTGTATCGAAAAGATGGCAATAGGATGGAATGGTTCCATTGCAAATACATTCTGATTGGGCCGATTGCGAGTATCAGAAGAGGCAAAGAATGTGTCCTCTGGATCAATAACTTCTCCTCCTTTGAATTCTTTGGCAGGGATGTTGTCAATGTCCGAATACAACCCCCCAAATCGGTAGATCACAAGCATTCTCCACAAATCAACTTTCATTGCACCCTTGTACAGCAAGCACCGTATGATGCGGTGGAGATTTGGAAACTCTGACCACTCTGCTTCCATGAGGCGGTCGACAGCATCGTCGTCGTGAAAGTATACCGAATAGTCAGGAAGTTCCTCCATCCACCGCTGAATTCCAGCTCCAAACACTTCTGCTGGAAGGCAACGATTCTTGTACGAGAGATGGAGAATCTTGGGAATTTTCCTATTGACTGTCGAATTATTAGTCTCGTCGTCAACCAGCACTCGGTCATAGATTGCAATGAATCCTTCTGGACATTCCAGAGAACCAGGAGGTGGCGACTGTGTTAACTCTGAGATCAACAGCTTGTCCTCCTGTGGGCTCATCGAAGTCATACTACCCAAAGCATGCATGACCGAAGGTTTGTTGCTTGCTATTTCACAATCTATCATGCTTAAACTTCTGCTCATGGTATCTCGTAGATAGGTTCCAGATGTTGTGCTTGAGACGACCAGCATTCCGATTGCAAATCCAACGACAATCCAAACGAAGATGCTTGTCGACGATGAATGCTGCCTCTTTTTTCCTGCGAGACGCTTCATCTTTTGTCTACTGCTGAAGTCGAATTTGACAACTTAGAATGTTTTTAGTTTGCGAAGAATGGAACAAAGTGTGCGGATAATCCCAAGCCAACAAGTTCTTCGTCAAATGCATGTATCCATTTCTTGCATCTGCATCATTGCTCCAACAAAGGTTGAAGGCCGACTGGACCGACCGGCGTGTTTCATGAATCCGTTGGCAACTTTGAACACCATATTTTCCCGAAAAATACACATGAGAAAAATTTGTTTCTCTTTGTGCGACCATGAAATACCGTGGTACCGCGATCACAATACAGTGGGTTTTGAATATTGAAACTAAGGTAGCTCTTTAAGATGGCTCGCCAAATTCAAATGACGGTAGGATTGTTCACCATTCTGCTGCATTACTGTAGAAGTAGAACAGAACCTTCCTCAATCACCATATTGCCTTACTGATCAAAGCAATTAGACAATTATAATCAGATCACATACAAAAATGAGAGTACGACGAAGATTTGCTCGAGAAAAAGGATCAGAGGATGGCAGAAGTTGGAAGTCTGCACTGACCGTGTGCTCGCAGATATCAGGAGGGTTACTTTTGATTGCAGTCGCCGCCGTAAACATGCCCCCTTCGTTCCTATCTATACCGCTAGCATCAAGAAATTTGACATCAATATCAACGACTGTGACTAAATCAACATCCCAGACTTCCGATTGCTGTTCATTGGCAAGACAAGATACCTTTGGTTTGTTTGATGACATTACGGATACCATGTGGAAACGAATTCGACAAAGGACACAAGCTTCCAGTTGGTATTGGGATCCAAAGAATCCTGTGAATAATGTACAAGATCCAGGCTGGTGGAATTCGCACAACATGATTCCGAATTTCGCCTGTCCGCATGTGGAAAAGCTTGGAGGAGCTGGAAATGAAGGCACAAAATTTGTGTGTAATCCGCGCCGTCTAGTGACAGAGGAAAAGCCTAGCTGTCTAATTTATTCCGTCGGCTGTGCGGGAGACTTTAAGTTTGAGGATGAGATTTTCAAGCTGCACAAGAAGGCTTGTGAAATACACGTGTTCGATCCTGCCAATTGGGAACGGAAAGGAGATGCAGAAAATAAAAATATCCACTACCACGCCTGGGGTTTCAAAAGCACCTATGATGAAGAATCCAAAAGTGTCGTATGGCCAAAAGGTAGAGGCGGAGGATTTAAAACAATTCCTGAAACCCTGAAGGAACTCGGTCACGAGAATCGCACAATCGATATCTTCAAGATTGATTGTGAGGGCTGCGAATGGTCTACTCACAAGGACTGGATCTCCGTTGGCTTTAGACAAATTCTTGTTGAAATGCATGGCGTCCCGGCACCAGAAGGTACTCCAAAGGCTAGATGGTACCAGAAGCCAATGGACATTCACAATGATTACTACAAGGACTACATGGACAATGGATATGCTCTTTTCAACCATGATCCCAATGGCGAATTGGGTTTGGAATTATCTTTCATCAAACTAGATAAACCCTTTTGGGAAACGCCATCGCAAGAAGCATGGTAGAGTACAGTAGATAAAGATTTCCATTTCCATCTTCATGCAAACAACCCGACGGCTGCATCAACGGAACACAGAGTACTACCAACATGTTGAAGAACGGAAAGCCATTGTCTATTTATCTTGTTTCCAGTAGTAGGACACGTGACACGGCAAAAAAAAATTCGTAAGACAGTAGCTGCGGCTGAATTTTGATTTGAGGTGCTGCTTTTCTTTGCTACGATAATACTTTACTATGATGCCAATTCAAGGTATAATACAATAGTCAACACAAATGATATGGCAAAATTCCCCCAAATATGGGACCCAAACATCGCAACGGCAAAATATATCATAGTACACGCCAGCCGACCTCAATTGTGTTGAGCTTTTATTGCTCGCTGTTTTACGCCGGCGGGGTCTAATATCCAGACGTACCTACAGTATATTTTCACCAAGCATTAATTCTAATATATCGGTACATAGTAGGTTGTGAAACATCCTGCAGTAACATGAATCGTCTCACTGGGAAGAAGAAACAACGATTGTCAGCGACAAGCATCTTCATCTGGATTGCCGTTGGATGTGGAATCGCAATGCTGGTGGTCTCGAGTACAACATCTGGAGCCTACCTACGAAATACTATGAACAGAAAGTTGAGCGAAATATACGAAGAAGCTATAAGCAACAATTCTACGAGGACAAATGGCTTGGGTAGTATGCTTTCACTGGGTCCAGAGGAAGACAGGCTTCTGATCTCAGAGTTGACGCAGTCGCCACCACCTGGTTCTCTTGAATGTCCAGAAGGATTCATTGCAATTTATGACAGAATAATTCCCGAGACCAACTCTACTACAGTCAAGCGGAAAATTCCCAAGATCCTGCATATATCGTATAAGAGCCGTTGTCTTCCAGCAGAAGTGTTCGGGGCTGGAGTTCAGCGGTGGATGGATGAACTTCCTGATTATTCTGTTTATTTTCACGATGACGATGCTGTCGACCGCCTCATGGAAGCAGAATGGCCAGAGTTCCCACAGCTTCATCGGATCATGAGATGTCTACAGTACAAGGGGGCGATGAAAGTTGATTTGTGGAGAATGCTTGTAATCTACCGATTTGGAGGGCTGTACACGGACATTGATAATGTCCCTGCAGAAGAATTCAAAGGAGGGGAGGTTATTGATCCAGAGGACACTTTCTTTTCCACTTCTGATAGCTGGAACAGACCCAATCAGAATGTATTCGCAATGGAGCCTTTCCACCCTATCGCCATCTTTACTATACAGACCATTATGAAGAACCTATACGAAATGACAAGCTTACGTAAACCTCAAGTGGTGTTCGTGACTGGGCCCATGGTGTTCAGAGATGGATATATATCGTATCTCGAACTCTCCTATCCGTACAAAACGCATGAACAGATCTTGGAAGCTGGATTGAAGAAAGGAAAACTGGGCAAACAGATTCACAAGGAAGGGCAGTGGAATTGGGGAAATATCATTGGTTCTGAAGGTGTGGAGTACGATGGAAAGAATATGAGCAAGAAGGAACGAGATCATTTACTTGCTGGTACCTATCATTGGTCGAAGGTTGTTTACTGGAATCGAAATGGACTAGATTTATCTTGTCGAGAATATTTATATCAGTTGGAACACCCTTCGCCGGAGAACGGAATTGCTGCCAATTGGACGGTCCTTGGAAGATGAAGTGCCATGATTTGATCTCATTCTTTCAGACTACACGTTAGACTATCTCTGTTCGACAGGCGAACAAGTCGTAGAGCACTAGCCATTACGCTGGGAAAAGAATGTATTGATGAAGTCACAAGCAATGATGCCTTTTGAACCGAAAATGGAACCGAAAAGTGCACGCTCACCGAAGCAAAATATTCCGGAAGATTGCGAAAGGAACCTACCGGTACAGGTACCCTCGCAGTAGTTCCAGCATTTTGATGTTGGAATTTCACACTTTCGACAAGTTACTTCAGCAGTCCCAATTGGGCAAATGTGATACTGTACTTGGATAACCAACCGTCTTCACACAATCATATTCATGCTACTGCATTCAACATAGCCTGTCTGATGCTAACCCCCGTATTCCCCATAATATCCCTAGTCTTGTTCTTCATCTGTTGAATTGCCCTCTTGCAACCCCATTTTCATCGCTCGATTCAACTGTTCCATGTATTTATATTCCTCTTCTTCGTCATATGCCTCCTCCTCGTCGGATGATGATTGCTCGTGTCCAACGCCATTCCTCTGATCTTGATCCTGATGACTGTTGTTGCTACCCTCATTACTTTCGTCGTCGCCGTCGCCGTGTCTTTCGATTGGCGACACACAGCTGCCATTGGGACGAACGGCACCAATGCTAGTAGTATCTCCTCGAACTCTTGAAACTGGTACTCCTCCTCCCACCTGTGATGGTTTGAATGGTTGAGGGGTCATAGCATTCCCGCTCGGTGGCTCCGTCTGGGTTGGATATACAGTGTCCATCAAAGTGCTGTTGGGATTCATGGTGCTACTCTCTTCTGGACTATTTTGAAGATCGGCTCTTCTCGCCAAGGCGTCCAAGAACAAGCGAATCTTATTTGGCAAAGTCCTCACGGCAGAGCAGACAATTTTTTTTGGTGACACATAGCAAGAATCGCATGGGAGGGTCCAATTGCTGCAACTGATGGAAAATGCGGAAACACATTCTCAATTTGTGAATAGCAGCTGTGTCTTGGTATTCTTCAAGATAAGTATCTGCGAGGCGCGCAAAACGTCTATTGCCCAAGGGAGACACCATTTCGCTCTCGTTTTCCATGATTAAGATGCCATGGTCTGTCGGGACAATGTAGTTTTTATTATCAGTAGTGGGTCCTTTTTGCTTTCTTGGAACCGCTGTAACTGAAGGAGTAATAAGCTGATGCTGTCGAGGAGACGAGGGTTCTGCTTGTTGCTGTGGACCGGTTCCAGTTTCCAATGATGACAAACTGATTTGATCGTGCTTTGTCTTTTTCTTGATTCACTTGTCATCGCTAGTGGTGCAAGCGATTTGACTGTGATGGCGTATTTGCGGTGGAAATAGGGCAACTGGAGCTGCTATCCCAGCAGCCTGCAACTTGCTTTCGACAACAGTTGAGACCCAGTATTCCACATCTTTGTCGGTACATTGGAAATACTTTCCGAACCTGTCATCGCATCGCAGACATTGTTTCACTGGCCGATGCTTCAAGTGACCACACACGAAGGTTTTAAAATGCTCGGTGGTTCTACTCAATAAAATCATATGTATCTCTGGATGCAATCGTCGTGTATTTACCGGTGGACTGTAGCAGCAAAAGTTCGATACGATGATGAATCACAGTATTCTCCATACGGACCGAGGCCATACGTGCGACCATCCATCCCATCTGACATCGAAAGCTGCAGTAAGCAATGACAGCTTAGTTTATCGATATCGGTTGAACTGATGCGTTCATTGCATTGACGGATTTTCGAAATGTCGATGGCATACAAGTATGACGCGCCGTGTTTTGCAGTAGTCATGTTCTAACGTCAGGCAGACAGACGGAATGTCGGTTAGTACGCCAAATTGAACGTTGGTGAACGTTGGCGATGCTAGCGATCGTTTACGTGCATGTTTTCGCACACAATTCAATTAATTTTCAGACA